CATTGTATTGCCTTTGTTTCTTTGTCGAAGACCAGTTTATCATACTTGTGTGGACCTACTTCTGGACTCTGTTTGGCTCCCTCATCTATTTGTCTGTTTGCCAATCCCATGCTCTCTGGGTGTAGCTTTTCCAGTAAGTCTTGAAGTCAGGTAATGCCAGTTTTCCGACTTTGCTCTCCTTCAACATTGAGTTGGCCATTCCAAGTCTTGTGCCACTTCATACCAGCTTTAGAATCAGTCTGTTGAAATCCACAGAATAACTTACTAGTATATTGATTGGTATTACATTGAATCTATAGACGAAATGATCAATTTTAAGTCCTATTTATTAATCTTTTCCTTTATGGATAGTGTTCTCTGTGCCCTACTTAAGATATTTTTGTTAACCCTAAGACCATGAAGATGTCTCCCCGACCTTTACAGTGATAAAAGTGAAAATAATTACACATTGGGAGGGAAGGATTCAGTAGTGGGAGACAGTATAAGGGAGAATTCCAGGGGCTGATTATGTTTTATTTCTTTATCTTCATGGTGGTTACACTTGCTTCTTTACTTTTTTTTACTGTTAATTGAACCTTGTACTTACTATTTGTACACTGTGTGTGTGTGTGTATATATATGAGAGACAGAGAGAGGAGAGAAAACACAAACAGGAGCCACTGACTGAAGAGATACAAGGTATTGATGAAAAATACTTTGAAAAATTGGAGAAATATTTGTGAGCAGATTATTTAACACCAAAATTCTCAGTCTATAAAGCCAACTATTTAGTAAATGTACCTTAATAAAATGCCTTTAATATATTTTAATTAAACACACTTAATAAGTATATTTTAAGACCAGAAACACTTAGGTTGGTTAATAATGTAATGTTGAAAATAAGCAGGGCTGAGCATAACATAAAGTAGCAAGATGAATGATATATTCATGAGATGTCATAGAAAGAATTAAGCAAGCACAGTACTTAAAGACAGCAGGCAAAAGCTCTAAGCACATGGTTGTACAAGTTCACCATTGAAATGGTGCTAGCTGACATGGGACAAGTTGACTGATGAGGGACACGAGCAGTGTGGTCTCAATAAAATGATGGCACTAATGAACTCTGAAGTGATGAGGAGGCTTTGGATACAAGGGTCAAGTAGAGTCACTATCCAAGGCAGAAACCAAATCAAGATGCCCAGTAAGGATACAGTTAATACTGAACACTGACCCAGAAGACAGCTAGGCATGGAGGAGTTAACTAACAGGAGGCACATTTAAAGCAGGAGTGGGGGTCATGTCAGGAGCTGTTTCTTCCATGAATGAGAATGCCAAGAAGTCACCAAAGCAGGGAGGGTCTTCCAAGGTCCTCAACCCAAATCTCTTTGAAGAGAAAGCCAACCAACAGCCTGTCTACAGGTAATCGGAGCAGCAGGTGTATGACGCCGTGTTCTCTGCCCTTAGCCAAGCAGGAGTGTCACCTGACAGCTGGTTCTGGCAATCAGACCCTGGGAGGCACCAGTCTTAGAGGCGCTCTGTGAGAGGAGCCCAGAGTGTGCAGGTGTGAAATCAGGCGCTCTCCTCTGTGACGCCTGCTTGCTAAATGACCCTCTGTCCATTTCCTATGGTCTTGCCTTGACAGGGAGAGGATTTCCAGGGAGCAAATGCCAATTGTTGGGCAAATATGAAATCTTTATGAAATGGGGCAGAATAAACACAGAAACAGGGCCTGGAGAAGAAAGTTACAGAAACTAAGGTCATCTGAAACTCCTGGATGGTATGGCAGACAGGAGGAAAGAAAAATCCCCAAGTGGGCTAGTTCATGGAACTCAAGCCCAAGCTTCTAAGTCTACATTTGTAATCAGCTCAGGCAGCATGATGTTTGCAGTGTTCACTATTTCAAGTACCTAAGCCTCATCTTTGAGAGTCACATGTTGTCATTCATCACATCCAGGCATGCAAAATCATCCCTTTTCTAACATTAAACATGTTTAATCACAACAATATGTAATAGCACTTCAGCACTTTAATGAAAGGAAGGCATTTGATACCCGATATTTATAGTAATCATAATACCACAAGGACTTCATTTTTTACAGTGTTAGACCAGGCAGCCAAGTTGTCCATGTTTTTGGTTAGTTGTTTGAAATGCTTTTGGGGAAATCATCCTCCAGAAATTAATTAATAGTTTTCCTCTACACAATTGTCAGTGTTATCACTGGTTAGTGCTACCGGCTGCCAGCTCCCTTATATCCTCACTCTGGTGACAATCAGCAAATGCAATTAATGTTTACTGCTTATCCTAACAGCCAAATGCCAAATGTCATACCACATGCAGGATCATAATTATGCTTTAGGAAGTGAATGGGTTTGGCTTTGCTAGCTAAGAATTAACCCTAAATTGGGCCAGCTGGTGGCATAGTGGTTAAGGCAGCTGGATCCCAAATGGCTGTCTGCATGGTTAGAGTCCCAGACCCAGTGGCTTGAGAAACATGCCAAGCACATATTTGTGCATGTTCAAAATTCTGAAAAGAGAAAAAAGGAGAAGAGATTGTGGTGTGACTATTCCTCCTGGGACATGCTTTCTCACTTTCTATGTCTCTCTCTGGAAGCACATGCACCTTATAGGGAAAAAAAAAATTGAGGGTCCACTTGAACTAATGCTAACAGAAGATACTGATGACACCTCAACTTTGGAAATACTAAGATGTTTTCCAAAGATAGCAGTTTCATGCAAAACTATTCCAAGACTCTTGGAATTCTCTTTCAAAAGGATCTAGCGTTTTCCTTGTCAAGCTCTAAATGTTCCCTCTGCCTTCTCGTCTAATTTATACACATTCCAACACCACTTGAGTGGAATTTGAGTTCCTACTTAAGTATTCACTGCTAACCACAAGTCTCATGCTTCGCAGCCTTTAGTGACATGTGTTTATTTGAAAAGGTAAGTCGGTGAAGCAGTGCCTTCCTTGTACTTTACAGTCTCTACCTATCAAATTCTACCTGGCACAAGGGAACAGAAGGGGCCCACCACTGGCAGGCGGTGATGGAGGTGGAGGTGTGTGGAGTAAGGAGAAGGGGCCCACCACTGGCAGGCGGTGATGGAGGGGGGGGGGTGTGGAGTAAGGAGCATGTACCTGGACCACTGTCCTCGGCCTCCTCAATAAGAAAACACAGTGTTCAAGTAGAGCACCATCTGACACATTTGAAAATTCAGATTTCTAGAAATCTTGAACTTAAATGCAATTATGGATACTTTTGTAAGTGGAACTTACAAAACTCAAATCAAAACCAAAGCCACTTTTCCGCACCAGAGTGGTGGAAAGGTGGAGCGTACTCAGGTACCCGCTGCTGGCAAGCACCCAGGACGTCACTCGTGCATCTGCTGTTCTAACATCACTCTGGTTTCATTTGTTCTTCTCCTTGGCTCCCTTTGTCCTGATTTATTTACTTAGTATCACTATTATAATTAATGATCACTATTAATTCTAATTTAGTTTTATGCATTTTCTAAGCTACTTCAATCTTCTTTAGAATATGATAGGATATCATTATGTTTGAGCGCTAGGAGATGCCCTAAATCTTTCACTCAAATTTATTTCCTTTTTTATATAGAATTTTAATAAACTCAGACATCTGATTTCAAACACACAGCAACTTAGAAGACCACAACTTACAGAAACAGCGGTTGTCTCTCTTGTTGATTCAGTGCAGCATATTAAGTCTACTTAATAGATGTCGTTAAATACAACAGTAAACGAATAAATTAGCAAACTAGTCAGCAAGGAGGCAAGATCCTCAGAGCTTAATTAAAAGTTGAAATTACTTTTTTTTTTTTAATTTAAGAAATGGAACCAACAGTTAATGTAATGGTTATGTCGCTGGACTCCCATGTAGCAGACCACGGTTCAAGTTCCCAGACCCAGTGGCTTAAATTTACGCCGGGTGCATGTGTGTGCATGCTCAAGATCCCAAGAGGAGAAGGGATTGTGGCATGGCCATCCCCCCGGGGGATGATTTCTCACTTTCTGTCTCTCTGTCTCTGTGTTTCTGGCGAGCACAACACCCCGGTAGCAAACACCTCTCCAAAAAAAAATTAAGAAACAAAGTATAGCAGTTAGGATGCACTTGGTACGAGTGTGACCTCTGTGGACTTAAAAACCTTTGATGATAACTAGTGATTATTGGTAAGTATAACCCTATTCCTTCAAGAAAAAGCCAAGGTATTCCTGGAAGTCTGTTTCAGACATTTTAGAAAACTTTCCATTTGAAACTAAAATTTTAAAAGATAAAAAGAAGGGGAAATTTCCAGCTATCTGGAAAATTCCCTTCTTGGCAATGCCTTGTTCCCTGGCCAGGCTAGATACCAGGAGTGTTGATGAACTAATAGTGAGTTCTTACATGGAAACGTCTCAGAAGAAGCGATGTGGGTGGTAAAGGCAGACCTTTTAGAACTGGGTTCTGAGTCACTCAATCGGGATGCAGTGGGAGCGATTCTAACTAACCCAACTGGTAGAAAAGAAAGAGTTAACAGCAATTACTCAGTAATTCACTCCCTGTCTCCTCCAAGTGATTTCTCATTAAGACCCCTAAATGGAATGACTTATTGCCCAGGAATGCAAACCTTTGTTTCAGCAATGTTAACAAAAAGAGAACAAAGTTCCTGAGTGTATGCTCAGAATTTTTTGGACAAAGGATGCCCCACGAATGGAAGATGTTATATAAATACTGTTCTTTGAGACTTGACTCCCATCGTGATGTAAATCACAGCCCTAAACTGAGGAAACCTCAAATCCTAGATTTCCCTAGTGGCAACTCTGGCCATTCCATTTCTCAGTGGAGTGCGGGAAGAAGATGATGTAAAGCGCTACAATTTCAGAAAAACAATACCTGTTTATTACCGGGAACCTGTTTTCCCCAGCCAGTTAAATAAAAGTGATCATGGCCAGCAGACTGAACCCCACACTTAACACTCCTCAACGACCATTGGCAAACAAGAGTGACTTGCTTTTTTTTGTTTACAGAATTATGCAAAACTTATTCCTGGAGCTACAGTAGGGCTACTTCAGAAGGACTCTGGGAACATCCTGCAGCTGATCATCTCGGCATATGAAGTAGGATACTTTACCATGGCATCATTTTTGCATTTCATTGGTATTCAAAAACTAGGATGTGTTTTAGACAGTTAAACGCACTCTCATTTGATGGTAGAGAAAGTGCTTACCCCCAAAAAGTCTCTATGCATTAATGCAGCTGAAAATATAAAACTTGTTTACTTCATTTGCAGATCTTCTTTTTGAACGGTGGAGCAGAAGGCAGACAAATCATAAAACCAACCATAAAGTTGAGGTTGTTTTTATAATAATAACCAACAGCAGCACTGTTACCAGCAAAATTTTAATTTGACTGAAAAGGCTCCATGGGTCATATAATTAAGCTTTCCTCTCTGAAAAAAAAAAATCAGCTTAAATTACCAATGAGTAACAGTTATGCAGAAAACTACCTCCATAGGCTTAACGACACTAGATCATATCTCAAACGAAAATGCAAATGTTGGCTATGCACCAAAACGTCAAAATCATACCAGGAATACCAATTTTTAGGTTTTATACTTCTAGGAACCAAGGAAATTTCCATTCATTTTATGCACACATATACAATATTTGCCTTGACTTCTGTTAGCATCTGAGGACAGAATCCTGCCCTTCAAATTAAGTTGTATACCTACAGGGTTGTTATGTTCTCCTTCTTGTCCACATTTTGTAACAAGAGGAGTCAACAAGGGATGTCCAGTTGCCAGGTCTTTCTTATTTTGATTCCTACATGTCGTCCCTTTGTTTTGCCCTTATTTACAAAGAAAGCACACAGATGCAAAGAAGAACCTCCAAATTAGGAAAGGAAGAAAAAAAGTAAATTTTTGTTAAGGCGTATATCTTTACTATTTGCTCTAAATAGCAGTTACATAATGGCAAATGAATAAATTTCTCCTAATTTTTGATGTTTTAAATTTACACATAATTGTTTCACATGTAGTACATGCCAATACTTGCATATACTGAACCAGTGTTCCTTAAATAAATGACATTACCAGAAATATATGGAAAGCTTTTAAAAAGTAGATGTGCTGGATTCCTCTCACAGAGGTCTTCGGGGGAATTTTATAGGAAGAGGGAGCTACCTATTTTGAAAAAAATTCCCCAAAGATTTTAACATCATCCCACCAATTTTGAAAATCACCTGAAAGAGAGAAGGCAAAGTATTTATTCTCAAATCATTCATTCCTTACAATAAAACACATAAGTGCCTGTAAATAGTTTAGGATGATGGGGTTTCCCTTTTCATTGATATTCTCAGAAATTTCAGTTTTCTTAGATTAAATAAAAAAACTTATCACCATATTAGCTCATGCTTAAAATTCTTCCAGATAGGAAGGCCTGACAACAAGACACCTAACAATAAAAAACCTTCCTCCCACTCATGCAGTAATTAAATGTCTAATATATAGAATCACACAGCATTTCTTCACTGAATTAGAATACTCCATTTTCTTTAACCCTATACTCTCAAAAGTGGTAGCCACTAATATCTTCAAAGAAACTAAGCAAACTAGAATACAGTGAATTAACAAAACTATTTCCCCCTGTAGTCTAACCAGTCTAAGCAAGCCCCTGCTTGCTCTGTGGAAAGATATATCTCACTTTATGGTCCGAAGTCACTCATAGAACTTAGAGGGTTGTTAAAACTGAAGCATTACACATGTGAATTAAAGGGCCAGTGGTTATGTCACTGGCCTCCCACATGGCTGACCATGGTTTGAATCCAGATCCAGTGGGCTTAAAACTCAGGCCGGGCACGTGTGTGTGTGTGTGTGTGTGTGTGTGTGTGTGTGTGTGTGTGTGCATGCACCCAAGATCCCGGGAGGAGAATGGAGGAGAAGGGATTGCTGAGTAGTCATCCCTTGGGGGGCAATTTCTCACTTTCCCTCTCATTGTCTCTGTCTTGCTCTTTCTTTGGCAAGCACATGTGCCCTAAGGCATAAACCTCTAAAAACAAACAAACAAAAAAATGTGGATTCAACCTGTGTTCTTATTTTACTGCCTCAAAAATACCAAGAAACATCAATTGTTCTTATACTGAGCACTCACGCTGGAGTTATTGCAAGAACTTCATGATTCACAGGGTGAGGTACGCAGAAGATTGGGGCATGAGGTCAAATTGTTTTTCTACTTGGTTATTTCTAAATGTATTCTGAACAGACTTTAAAATATGGGGACCCCACAGACTGAATTTCTTCCCAGTATATAAAGAGAAAATGAACAAGGACATATCAAGAGAAAACACAACATGTTTTTGACTGACTTCTGGTAAGGCAGAGAATGTAGTAAGACGATCTGCTTCTAACTTGTGGCTACTATTCCAGCTCAGTATTTTATAGTGCGGTACCGATATTGCAAACTTTAAATACTAGATGTGTATTCATCTGACCATCATTTGCTAATTCCCCTCCTTCCTCAGTCACACAATAAAAGCCACTGCACTATCAGTGATCTTTTTTTTTTTTTGGAGAGGTTTTCGCTATAGGGCACGTGCGCTCGCCAGACAGATAGAGACATTGAGACAGAAAGCCAGAAATCACCCCCCAGAGGGGGGGGGGCCATGCCCAAATCCCTTCTCCTCCATTCTCCTCTCAGGATCTTGGGCACGCACGCACACACGCCCGGCGTGAGTTTTAAGCCACCGGGTCCAGGACGCGAACCACGGTTGACTACGTGGGAGTCCAGTGACATAGCCATTACGCTAACTGCTGGTTCCCTACTATCAGTGATCTTGAGGGCAAGGCCCCTCTGCTGGCATGTAAACTCCAACTGGGAAATACGTTTGTTTCATTCTGTTTTGCCTGACTCATAGGAGCTGCTCGACGAATGAATGAAATGAGGAGAAATACATTCACAGATTTTCTTTGGGAAATGTACATGGAAATATTCCTGGCCAATGCTAATATGCTATTCAGTTATATGATGAAATTTCCTTCTTTTAGACCATATGATGTCACTAGTCCTTATTATTGCTGTCACTTACAGACTTCCGAGTCAAATCCCTCATTTCTAATTTAGCTCCGGACTCACTGTGCCACTCGCTCCAAATCTACTGCCATCGTAATTCATGAAGATTTTATATATATAAAAATTTGGAGTAAAGGAGGGTCATGGCAGTATGCAAAACTAACACTTAAAGAAAACTGAAAGCTGAGCATGCTTTTAAGTGCCAACAACGAAGTGCTTGTATGGATTCACAGTCTTCTGAATGAACTGAAGTGTTAACCTAAGTCATAATATTTTAAAATGTGTTGTTATTATTTATTTTGAATCATTTGATTTTTGTCCCTCCAAATTCAGACTTACTTTGTAAGTAAACAAAAAATAGATAGATAGAAAAAGTAAGATGAAAACATTTTTTAAGAATAGAAATCTAGTCACATATTTCCCAGACGTGACTCTACACTAAATACTATAGGTACTCAAATTTCAGTATTAACTTCCAGGCAGTTTCCCCTGCTCCCCACATTTTATCATCTCTAAAATTGGCATCTATTTTGTAATGAATGGTGTCACAATCTCTGTCTGCCAGGCAGTGAGTCAGGATGTAGTTTCTATTGATAATTGTGATTATGATCACATCAGTTCACTAAATGCATCCTTGGTGCTATATGTTAAGTTTAATTACCATTTAAAAATTTCTTCATAAAGTTTGTACTATGACTCATGAAAAGTTATGATGTATGCAACAATGTACGGAAACAGAGCAGCAGGGTGTAAATTTGATATCAGTGAAGCAAATATTCATTGTTAGAGGAATGGCTGCAATTCTGTATTCCTTGCAAAAACAACTACCAGCTGCTTTATGGGAGCTAAGAAATGATGACGCTTACAAGTAAAGCACGCTCTTGCTATATTTTGTTACTGAGATACAAGCATAAGAACGGCCTTTTTATACCACGCTGTGCAACTCAGGGCTGGAGAACTTGCCAAAGTGCTCAGGATGGATAAAATACTTTTAGAAGTAATGATAGACTGATGGGTTTGCTTCAAAGGTAGTGCAGAGCCATCTTGAGGTATTTTGTCATAATTTGTCTTAATACAATGGTGTATCTTGTCATTGATGGGGTCTTAGATTTGATACAATACTAAATGTAAATATTGGTTACTCATTTTCTTGCTTGCTTGATGACATGATGACTTTCTTATAGACCCAATTTAATTTTACTCTTTTGTAGTTTAATGAACACGATTCATGGTCTCTTTGGCTGTATTTTTTTTTTTCTTTTGGTTGTGACTTTAACATTTCATGCCCTTAGATTTGATACAATACTAAATGTAAATATTGGTTACTCATTTTCTTGCTTGCTTGATGACATGATGACTTTCTTATAGACCCAATTTAATTTTACTCTTTTGTAGTTTAATGAACACAATTCATGGTCTCTTTGGCTGTATATTTTTTTTCTTTTGGTTGTGACTTTAACCTTTCATGCCTTAACTAAAGGAACTGCGCTCTGAAGTGGAGCTAGAAGTATTAGGAGACACAGAAGGACTCAACCTGTCATTCACAGCCATCTGTAACAATGGAACCCTCTTCCCTCACCAAAAGAAATGCTCACACATGAAGGTGGGAGACACAGTAAGTAGATGGCCAGTGAACTGCCTGCCCAAATATTCAGATTGCTCTCACATTAGCTCAGCTCACAGAAGTTGGGCTCCTTTTAAGAATTTCAAAGATTTTAGGGACCAGCAATTAGCGTAATGGCTATGTCGTTGGACTCCCACGTAGTCGACCGCGCTTCGTGTCCCGGCCCCAGTGGCTTAAACTCACGCTGGGCGCGTGTGCGTGCGTGCTCAAGATCCTGAGAGGAGAATGGAGGAGAAGGGATTGTGGCGTGGCCATCCCCCCTGGGGGGCGATTTCTCGCTTTCTATCTCTATGTCTCTCTCTGTCTGTCTGGCAAGCACACGCACCCAATAGCAAAAACCTCTCCAAAAAAAAAAAGAATTTCAAAGATTTTATAATAAATGCTTTTGCAAAGCTTATTTCCATACAGCCTGTTTTTCCCTTGTGTTTTTCGGTGGATGGGGAAAGGAAGCAGATAATGAATGCTTTCTTTGCAGGCTTCATTCAACGTGACTGTGAGTATTCCAAACTGCGAGCAAAGAAGCAGACATGTTATCATAAAGCCAGTGGGGCTGGGAGACGCCCTAGAAGTACTTGTCAGCCCAGAATGCAACTGTGGCTGTGAGCGAGAAGTAGAAGTGAACAGTTCCAAATGCCACAATGGGAGCGGCTCCTTCCAATGTGGGGTGTGTGCCTGCCATCCCGGCCACATGGGACCTCGCTGCGAGTGTGGCGAGGACATGCTGAGCACGGATTCCTGCAAGGAGACCCCAGACCATCCTTCGTGCAGTGGAAGGGGCGACTGCTACTGTGGGCAGTGCATCTGCCACTTGTCCTCCTACGGAAGCATTTACGGACCTTACTGCCAGTGTGACAATTTCTCCTGTGTGAGACACAAGGGGCTGCTCTGCGGAGGTAGGCTATGTCTAAATCCACCTTACACTGCGGCTGTTCCAGTATCAGGGAGGGACTTTGCATCCTTTGCACCTTCCCAGATTCTTGGGCATCGCAGGTGCTTAATAAATATTTGCCCATCGATTGAGTGGGTTAATCTTTAGACCTCGGGTAACTAAATCTTCTCTTGTATTTGTTTGTTTGTTTGTTTGTTCACTTTCAAATTTACTTGGGAAGAGATCTTTGCCCACTGAACTTAAATCTATTTTCATTTCCCTAAGAGTAAGTAGGAAAGATAGAAATGGCTTCTCTCTGGGTATCGCCAGATTTGTCTAAACTGCATTATTTTCCAGACCGCTCTGGATCAAGCTGCTCAGTCTGCCTCAGTTCTTAAATGCCTGTTACTGAGACTGCTAAAAATGCAGGCTGCCGATGACAGGGCACACAGCAACACAAAGAAACTTCCAGGACCTTCACTTGTTCCGCAGGTCTTTATGAAATGCTATCATATGACAGATACTAGATTAGTTAGAGTATTATTAAAATAAGTAAGGGTGGGACCAGCAGATGGTGTAATAGTTATGTCACCGGACACCCATGTAATTGACCACAGTTCGAGTCCTGGACCCATCAGCTAAAAACTCACTCTGGACACATATGCATGTGTTCCCAAAATCCCGAGAGGAGAATGGAGGAGAAAGATTGAGGTGTGGTCATCCCCTGGGAGTGATTTCTCACTTTCTGTCTCTCTGTCTCTCTGGCTAGCACAGAACCCCTATAGCAAAAATCGCTCAAAAAGAAAAAGAAAAAGAAATAAGTATAGGTATATGTAAAGAAACCCATAGAAAAGATAAGAAGGAAAAGTCGCTTGGAATTTCTTGAGAAATTTGATAAAACTTAAAAATGAAAATATTATTTATATATGTGGGTATAATATTTCAGATTATATCCTTTATAGATGTAAACTTATTGTAGTTTAAGAGTAAATGACATATAACATGCCTGCTATAAAATCATTCTGGTATGTGATATATATTTAAGTATAATATATTCAGACAAGAATTATAAGTAACATACTTTGGAATGGTATAAATTTGTGTTATAATTGAAATATAAACTGACTACTAAAGTTAAACTTTAATGTTTTTTTGATAGTATGTAAGCAGACAGCTCTTCAAAACAGAAAGTCATTATCTTTATAGAAAACTAAGCAAGTTATGTTTTCAAACCACAGTGTCAGGAACATATAAAAGAGACTAATTTTCATAGAGAAAAAAAAGAGAGAGAGAGAGAAAGAGACTTGAGAGAAAGAAACCTCAAAGAGTCCCAAGCGTTTTGAAAGCCATTTGATATCCTTAGAAGTGTTCCTACCTTTCATTTCTTTGCTCTTGCCGTTGCTACCAACAGGTTCTTCTGAGAAAATCTGCCTCTTTTCCAAAGAGAGAAAATTTTAGGGTCTGTCCTGATGGAGATACGTTTCCTCCCCTTTCATTCAAAGGTGTATTTCCAGAATAAGGGTGTGTTTCCAGAACCACTTCAGTCCCCTTTTCACATGACACAGATGGGACACAATCTGAAGGTGACAACGAGCCAGCCTCAGGCTGTTAGCACATCAAGAAAGAATATATTTGGCAGAATCCCATCCTGCATTTCTAACAAAAATCTTTTAATTAAATGCACACTCAAAACATTAGAAATTACTTTTCAAAGACTCCTATGTGTGTTCTAAGAAGAAATTGGGTCATCTGAAAAGTCCTGATGCATTTTTGCATAGAAAAACACAGAAAAAATATGTCAGGACTTTTCTGATGACCCAATTTAAATATCAATACTAAGGGAACCAGCAGTTAGCGTAATGGCTATGTCGCTGGACTCCCACGTAGTCGACCGCGGTTCGTGTCCCCGACCCGGTGGCTTAAAACTCACGCCGGGCGCGTGTGCGTGCGTGCCCAAGATCCCAAGAGGAGAATGGAGGAGAAGGGATTGCGGCGTGACCATCCCCCCTGGGGGGTGATTTCTCGCTTTCTGTCTCTATGTCTCTCTCTGTCTGTCTGGCGAGCGCACACGCCCTACAGTGAAAATCTCTCCAAAAAAAAAAAAAATCAATACTAAAACACCACCTATTTTCCACCCTTTAAAGGTTGGCTCAAAGAGATCTAAGTGTACATGGCCAAACTGTGTCCAGCAACACATAGTTCTTTCCATTCTTTGGTGGCCTTTCACTGTATGTGGCACCAGGCATGAGGAACAGAAATAAAAATGGAGGAGTTGATCTGGGCATTGTACTTGAAGGTCTGACGACAGGGCCTATCTTTGACTCAGACACAGTGATTGCTAAAGAAATTCTACTTAGAGCATACAGTGACTTCAGCTAGACTCAGAAACTTCTTGCTGCCAATTTCTTTCTTACTTTGGAGTACTTAATAATTTTCAATCATTAATGTTTCTTAAGAGCTTTTTTTTTCTAATAACATCACTAAGGTTGTTACATTATAATTAATAACTTTTCCTTTAAAAGATATCATAAAAGTAAGCAATTATTCAGATCCAACAAATAGAGTTATAAAGTACCTACCATGTGCCTGCCATGGTACTTAGTGCAGAGAGATGACAATTGTGCCTGATATTATGAGCAGACACTCTGGTGCTGTTATTATTTGCAATAGCGGATCAACTTTGCTGCAGCTTCAAAACTTGTGTCAATCTCACTTATTTTATAACGAATGTACTCTGCAATGTGCTGCTTTTCCAAAGGGCCATTATTACAGGGGTCTTTTTCATACAATTTCTTTAATCTGTTTATAAGCACTCAGAGATTTAGTACTCCATTGTTTTTTCCTTTCCCATTTTAGTCTCTTATAGAAGGTATTTTGATTCTAAGAGACTAGAAACTCTAACAGGCAAATGGAATAAAAGAAAAAACTTCCTACCAGTATGCCCTTGAAGTTATTGTCATTGACATTCTAGAAAGATCTGTCTCATTATGTCCTTATAGTTATTGTCATTGACATTCTAGAAAGATCTGTACCTCGGGGTGGGGTGGGGCGGAACCTGGCAGTTTTTCTTGATCTTTAGTTGTCCTCTTGCTCTACATTAAACCAATACTAAGGTTGTGTGGTTGTTGAATGAACAGGGGCTTTAGATGATTAAAGTCAATTTAAGACCAGAGGATAGCTCTGGAAGGCCAGCTGACAGGAGGGTTTCTACCTTCTGTAAGGAGCTCTTGGTATTTTTGCCATGATGGTCTTTCTTGCCCCAAAAATGGTTTTCTAAATTTCTGCCAAGTAATTCTTACATGCAATGTATATACTTCAAATTTCTCAAAATATTTGGAAATGAACATTTCATTTAATAATATTTATAAATATTTTTTCTGATTAAAACTGCAATGTAGAAACTGCTCCTTTTATGAAAATAAGTTTCCTCTTTAGCTGAGAAAGAAAAAAAAAAGGTATTGTAGTTTAGAGAATCCCATATATAAAAGTTAAATTGAAGGCTTTCGTCATCTTATTATTCTTAGCTTTAAATTAATCAATTCAGTTATGAATTATAAAGATTATAAAATGCAGCTGGAATATGAGTCTTTCGTCATCTTATTATTCTTAGCTTTAAAATAATCAATACAGTTATGAATTATAAAGATTATAAAATATAGCAGAAATATGTCTTAATGTCATGGATCCAGTTAAATTCAAACCCAAAATCTTTTAGAGGACAATGTTTTGAGTAACACACACACACACACAGACACACTTACATAGATAGAATATGTAGAAATATGTGTGTGCATGTATATATATATGCTTCATATATATAAAGGGTTAGGGCTAGGGTCTATATCTCTCTCTATATATAGAGAGAGGGACTTCAAAAAGTTTGTGAAAATATTGAATTAAAGTACAATTTATTTTGGTGCAAAAAGATTTCATTACATGCCTAGATTTTTTTAAATACACATTTCCATATTTGAAAATCCTTCAAACATATACAAAACACACACATACATGCATGCACACACAGACACACACACACACACAGCAGGAGCAATCAAAATCTTTGTGGTTATCTCTTTTGTTCTGCGATTCTTGATCAAGGAGAGCATTAAGCCAAGGATTCTCCTGCTCCAAGTCCTGTAAGGTCCAGCCATAAAGATAGTATCTAGTTTCTAGACCAAAGTTTGCAAGAGAAAACCCAGACTTTCATCTACAGCAATTCTGGCAGTGTCAAGTGGAAACCTGCTTCACTTAAGATTCTCTTACATCTGCCTGTTTTCGATAACAGCCTAGGAATTTAAACACAGACGGATAATTTTGCTTACAAATTCTTCTAACTGGATAGTTTTTAGGAATAATGCTAATTACTCATGGGTCAGCACTATTTAAACACCGTTAAGTACTGCCTTGGGTAGCAAAACACATGAGGCAAAAGGCCTAACTGCACTTTTCTTTTTCTGAAGAAAAAGTATCAGTTATAAAAGTTTGTTGGGACTAGCAGTTGGCATAATGGCTATGTCACTGGATTCCCACATAGTCGACCATGGTTCAAGTCCCAGACCCGGTGGCTTAAATGCACACCGGGCACGTCTATGTGCGTGCCAAAGATCCTGAGAGGAGAATGGAGGAGAAGGGATTGTGGCATGGCCATCCCCCCGGGGGATGATTTCTCCCTTTCTGTCTCTATGTCTCTCTCTGTCTTTCTGGCAAGTGAATATGTGCCCTATAG